CACCAGGAAGAAAATATTTAGGAAATGTAGATAATTCAACAAATAAGCTAGAAGCAATTTTCATAGTTTCATCCCATTCTGATTGGGAAACTGAATCAATGTTTAAATGAAGAATATCCAATTGCTTAGTATCTTCAATCACAGAAAGATCTTGACTGAAAAAACCAGAATCTTCCATATTTAATCTAGAGTTTAATAAAAGTTCTAAATATCGCATTCTTTCATCGAAACTCTCTCTTGGACATGATATCATTAAATTATCGAACATGTTCTGAACCGTTCTTTCTTTAGTTAATACTCTATCACTAACAAATTTAACATAAAAAGTTTCATACTGTCTTAAACATTTTTCCAACATTGAATGTTGTGCTTGAAACGCAGGAGATGGTCCTCTACCTAAGGATCCTGTGGAGCCCATAATACTATTTTTACTAGATTGTTTTAATGTATTCAATTGATCTTTAGTCGGGGAATTAATAGTATTTGTTTCTATATATCCAGTCTTTATATCATCCATACTTTTATTTCTTGGCAAACCCTTGGATTCTTGATTTATTTCTATTGAAATACTTGTATTTGGTTCTGGTAGAGATTCGCTTAATTTTGATGTACTTTTACTAGATTTCTTTTTTGATTTTTTATCAGATCGTTTGGTGGCACCCCCAGAGTTTGCTCTTCTTCTAGGACTGGGACTTTTCTCAGAAAACGAACTACTAGTTGTATCTGGTTTATTCAATTTACTATCAGATTGACTTTTTTCCAAAGGAATTGCAGTTAAAGAATTATCGTTGATTGTGGTAGTATTTGTAATTGTATCCAATTTCGTTTCCAATTCGTTTTTTTCTGTGTGATTCGAAACTATTGTTGGTTGAACCTTCGTTAGAATTTTTGCGCATAATCGAAGACTTCGTGAAATCTCCATAGGAGTTAAAAGATCAATGTGATACAAAAGTTTACTGATGATCTCATAGAACAAACCGGGTAGATGTTCGGAAGGAGTGTCTATAAATGCATCCAATGATACAGTTTCAAGTAAGAATTCAGTCAATATACATATTTCCATGAAATTCGGCATCCCACTACCTACAGGCCTCACAATAATATCTTCCGTTTCTTGTCTATTTTTTGCTCTAGCTTGACAAGCATTTTCAAATAAATGACCACAATGTATCCAAACATAAGAAGGTTCTAAAGTTGAAAACAATAAGTTTGCTGATTTTACTACTTCATTCGTTTTTGGTACTCTATTTGATTGTCCACAAGCATTATAAAAAGTTCTGTAATTAAAAAATTATCATAAATTATTATAATTATATTTCTATATTATTAAAGATTATTTTATTATGATAATTTTAAATATATATTCTTTTATACCTAAAAACTTCAAATAAAATATCATCCAAAATTACTGGACCAATATCTGCTTTTTCTAACAAAGAAACTAATATTCTATATGGTTTTAAATCTTGTGGACTTTCTTCACAAATAGTTTTCAATAATGACTTTATTGCTTCTATTAACATTTCTTTTGAATACATATCAAAATAAGTAGGTGTATTTTCCATACTTCCCGATACTTTAGTATCTACTTTCCTCTTTAAAATAGATGTGCTGACTTCAGTACCCAAAAGCCAAGCAAACAATCGTCTATGATATATATATATATATATATATATAAATTAATTTCATAAAATATTTAATTTGATATTTTTAATATTTTTATTTTTCATTTTTTTTACTTTACCTATTTAAACTCATATCTCTTCTTAATATAGTTACAAGAGCAGCTGTGACTAGCGATACCATGTGCTCATGTGTTAATTGACTATTATGTACAGGAAAACCAACTAACAGCAAATCTAAAGCACTTCTTTGTACTAACACAGAATTGTCTTGTACTCCAGCACAAAGAGCAGTAACCTTATTTAATAATTAAAATTTAAGATTTAAAATTTTAATAATTAAAAAATAAAATAAGAATAATATTTAATTTTATATAATATTTTTCATATATACCATAATATTAGTATCTGTGCCCATGATATAATTCTGTTCTTCCATTGGCAGTTTCTTGTTAAAATGTGCTAATACAAAAGATATAGCAGGTAATCGAATTCCAGAATTTGAAGCTAAACAATCCCACAAGCATGCATAAAAATGTTCTGGACCTACTCCCTCACATACTTTTTCAAGTAAGGAATTTGTTCTAAAAGCAAATTTATACAATTTTTTAAAAATATTAATTTTATAATTTATATTTAAAATCTACTTTAATTAAATCTATTTTAATTAATAATACCTATCAAAATGATCAGAACCATCTTCTAAACCAAGTAAAACACCACTTAAAAATCCACTCAAGCCAGGCCTTAATCTTTCTCCAAGAGGTACAAAATGCGTTTCATATACTGTCAATAAAGATGGTCTTACATTCATAGCAGCATGACCCAATAATGGAAATAGACCTATAAAAATGTTTATATTAATGAATACAAATTAATAAATATATTTAAATTATATGATTATATGATTTTTATAAAAAATTTATTTTATTTTTTAATCTTACCAGCACTATATATAAACAATTCATGACTCAGTCTATTAGTGCCCATACATTTGAAAATAATGTCATAAGTTTCAAGAGCTTTTAAATGAACACCAGATGGCAAAGCAGGATGCATACATTGTGCTAATCTTTTAGATATTTTAATTCTTCTAGGAATAACTGGAAACTTCATATGACTTAATAACACTTTGTTTAATTTTCCAAGTGCAGATATTAAGTCTGCCCATTCGCTGGTATATTCAAAACTTTTTAACGCTTTGTCAACAGCAGATACATAACTGTATAAAATATATTTTTCCATTTATAAAAAATTAAAATATAATTTAATTTTATAAAATATTTTATAAAAATTTAAAAAAATTAAATATATTATATAGTTTTATTTAATAAAATAGAATATAAGTCAATAATTATATTACTTACACTCTATATTTAGAGTCTTTCATAAGTTCGAACTCTTCCAAAGCTATAGAACCCATTGTTATGATGTTCTATTGTAATTTATAATAAAAATATATAACTATATATCACATATACTCGATTCTTCTTACATTATTCCAATATTACTGATTGGTATCACAAGTGATTCATAAGAAACAATTACCATTAAAAAATGCTCTTATCACATAGCACATTGTGTTTAGATAAGAGCATATTCTTTTGCCTAAAAAAGAAATTGAATAACCTCTTACAAATATGTTGATTTTAATCAATTAGTTCCGCGCATTTTAGAAATTTACAATAAATTTACAATAAAGATTTTTCAATTACATTTTCGTTTATAGATAAAAATAAATTATCACGAATATTGTTTAATTCGATAATTTTGTAGTATTAAAAATAGATCATCTTATCTGTAGTCTACAATAAAGAATAACTATATACGTTCAAACTTATTAATTGTATTCTACCATATGATTGACAAGTGATGTATGATTAAAAACATGTATTTTTTCGGATGAAATACAAAACAATTTCCTTCTAATCACCTTGTGAAAAATATATTTAAAATATAACGTATATGCTTAAAAAAATTATAAAAAAAAATTTAAACATGATAAAATGTTAAACGTTGTCTCTTTTTATACATTTATGATTTGTCCATAATTAATAATTTAATCTGTCTATATGAAAATCATTTGAAAATATTTTGGGAAAAATATTCTATATGTTTCATAAATAAGGTTAATAAACATTTATTCAATATATAAATCTATAAAACAAATTTTATAAAACAATCGGTTATGTCCATTCTTGTACATAAGATCCAATGGATAGCTCACCTTTTGATGTTGACATTTCGAATTTGCATATGTCGTTAGGGATGAAGATAGAAAGCATCGAGTAACCGCATGTGTTTTTTGATCACGAATGCGATCATTGAGAAATGATATTGAAAAAAAACGAAAGAAATTGCAGAATCGTTCGATAATCCTAAAAATGGATCACCATAATTTTCTTAAAATGCCCTATCAAACGAGTTTTTGCATTATTTCATACACGTATGACATGGATGATCTGAAGTTGGTGGCACTGGATGAAATAGATTTCACGCGCACGTCAACGTAGATGCAACTCGCTGTTTGCTTGTCATATACACAGCCACGTACACAATCAAAATTTTAATGCGCATGACGTAATTTAAAAAGGGGAAGTTTACATTCATTAGTTTTTGATCGATGCTATGATAAATATAGTTCTAATTTCATTTATATTATTATCATAAATTGAATATAAATTTTTTTTAGAATAGTCATGTAAAATGCAAAATCACATGTTTTATTTTTCTACGCAATTTCATTCATTAATAAATTAATATTTTTGTGAATGTCAAAAGAAAATAATTTATTTTAATAAATGAATATATAATATATAATGTAATTTCAAGATATTTTAAATTAATGAATTGTAAATTTACTTTTAGTATAAATAAAATTTTTTTATACTTACCGATTTATAGCGGTAGATAATTACTATTATTATTATCAATAAGTCCAAAGTGATGTGAAAAATATATATATATATATATATATATATATAATTTATAAAAATTTTGTAACGATGATAAGTAATAATATAGAAGAAATGAAGCAGAAATATGAAAAGAATAATATTATTCTATCCTGTGGTTTTTGCCCGTCCTTATCTCTTTTAGTTCACTCTTATCTGGTTGTACACAGGGGAAAATTTGTTTGATCATATACATTTTATCGACACACGAATAATTACATTTCAAAAATACATTCATTTATCATTTCTCTATTCTTTATAATAATCATTTTCCATATATAATTTCGCGACGGTATTTTAAAAACAAACCAATTTTTAACATTTATGAATATTTACAATTTTTTATAAAATGTTAGTTTATTTCTTTTCAAGGTTTTTATAAAATATTTTAATTACACAATGTTTAGTAATATGATTTATTTTAATTCACTACAAATTCAATGGACATGTTTTGGACATTACATCAATATGATTAAGAGATTAATCATATAGATAAAATAATATTTATAGAAATTAGTTATAAGATTTTATGATCAGCCTTTAAAAAATAGTCAGATTTGATTGTAAAAAATCAGCTTTTATATGATATTAAAAGGTTATTTACATGGAATGTCTTTAACTGTTAGAAATACTTTAACAATAAAATAATTTCAACAATAAAAACAACAATATTATTATTCTTTTCAATGGAAATTTGTTCATTATTTTTGCATACATATTATGCAAATAAATAAATTCTTTTGGTTTCTATTCAGTATTTTTTAATGTAATTATTATTGTAATAATTTAAATACCATTTAATGATTTAATTAAATAATTTGAATTAAGAAATTAATTTCACTACATGTATCAATATTAGTAAGCTTATAAAATATAAATTTGTATGTTTGAAACAAAATATCTTCGCGATATGCTTTCCCATATAGAATGAGATTTGACGAATTTTAAAAAACATAAAATAATAATTTGTAATGCATAAATAATCTTTGATTTTTCTTATTTTTAATCGACGTTCCATGCAATAGAGAAAAGAATATTTGTGCATGAACATCATTAAATGAAAAATTATCATTTTCAATATAAATTTTTGCAACTATTCTTCCTTCTCATCAAGAGTTTAATTTTGCTCCTAATGGTTGTGGTCTTGAACTGCGTTCGATTCTCTTTTGTTGCTGTTCAAACAGTCGCTGTTCTCTTTCTCTTCGTTTTTGTTCCCTCAATGTTTTTGTGGGATCTCCAAATTCTTTTGTTGTTTCTTCCTCCCAGCCAACAGCATTGTCTTCCCATTCTCCTAATTCATTCTGTATAAATATAGTTAAATAGTATAGTAGTATAGTATATATACTATACTATTTAATATAAAATAATTTAATATATATATACTAGTATAAATATAGTCCACTAATTAGTTTTATATCATTAAAAATTAAATATTGTAAAAAGTATGTAATTACAGATGGTATAGGATCATTGATCACAGCAAATTTTGTTGAATTCCAGGATGTATTCTCTAAGCTTTTATCTTTAATTAAAATTTTTGTCTGTGCAGTGATCTTTGGTGTCATATTCTGTAAAATTAGAAAAAAATATTAATAAATATATACACATATATAATAAATATATACACATATATACACATATATATACACATATATATTTATTATTAGGATATAATAGAAATAAAAAAAACCTACCTCAAAAAAATCTGGTTGTTGCTCTTCTGTAGATTCTGGTGGTTTAGATGCTTGCTGTCTATATTGTTCAATCTTTGCTTGTATTGTGTCAACTGGCCTATCTGGCACGATCACGACAAGATTTTCCTCCCATTGATCCCAGTGCTCTAATTCCTTGAGCAAGCATCTTCAGTAATTACTATTATCGGAGTCAATGGTACAAAGGGATTTACATAATCTTTAGATCGTTGCAAAATATCGAATTGAAAAGATGAACGTAATACTTGAAACTCACTGGTTGTGTTGTGTTCAAGGTGTTCGGTACTACGCCAATAGCAGATAAGGGAATAGAATCACAGGATGATCTTCTTCGACGTCGAAAACAGCACATTGCTCGCCGAAATACTCCCAAAAGAAATACGATGAGTGCTTTCAATCGATTTACTAAAAATTCTATTGCCATTATAATATCGGCATAAAGCCTAACCTCTTTTATATAATATTAAGAAAATGTTAAGAAATGATTTTATATATTGTGACAATTTAAGATTGATCAAATGCCATTTTATTGACAAATTTTTAAAACGATGTGATTATCTTGTTATTTTGTATTTGTTTTATAAATATTAATAATAAACAAGTAGTATTTTGTTCAACATACACTCCTTATGAAATAATAAAAAGGTTATCGAAAAATATCGATTAAAATCTGTATGTCGATTGTCGACTTATTTCAACAAGTTTCTATCGCTACTCGATTTGAAAGAAATTTGAATTTGAAATTTTTCTATTATTGAGAAATAAATTTATATACGAAATAAATTGAAAAAAGAAATTATTTATTTCATAAAAAAAATATTATTACATTTAAAAAAATCATCTATGTACGAACACATTTTTCTCGTTTTGTTTTACGATCAAATTGACATTTTTCATATGGACCACATTTTATTCCAGCGCAATAAATATCTAAAAAATAAATTTTATGATAAATTTTAAAAAAATACTCTAGAAAAAGAATTTTAAAAAGATATCAAGAAGGTATATTAAAAAAATGTTTTTTACCGTTCGATGATCCTTTATATCCATTGCCAGTATTAATAGGACTTGCTTGAACACAAGATTCACTTCCACATTTATTTGGACAACATTTTTCATTAAAAGAACATTGATAATCGGAAACACATCTAGGGGTGCATTTTGAAACACTATTTCTTAATGGACAGTGACCCTCTTTATCTGAAATATAGAAAGTTGTAAGAAAAAAACAAATTTTAATTTTTATCCTATTTTTTGAAAATATAAATTCATATAAACATTTAATAATATATAAAATTTTATTATGGCTTAATAAAAATTTTTATTAATTATTGTTTAACCGAAGACTTTATATTAATACTTATAGTAAATATTATATATAAAAACAAATTTCATTATAAAAAAATATAAGAAAACAAATGTTAAGCAAGAATGAATTTTTAATATTATAAATGATATTTGGTGTTATATCTTATATCTGATATTATTATGTAATTTTAATGATATATTTTTATACTACTATCTATTTTATACTCAAAACAATATATTAAAAGTACATATTCATACTAGTAATTAACTTACGAGATAGTTGACAGACTGCTGTGACAATTAATAAATACGCTAACACGAGAATTGTTCCTTTCTCTATGACAAAATAAAGTTCATTATCCATATATCAAAATTGCATATTATCAATGATTATAGTGAATAATTTCAATGTAAATAAAAAGTAGATTATATTTTCATCTAAAATTATATATAAATGATAAATCAATTTTTTTTTACATTTCAAAAATACTTTTTTTTCATTTTTAAGAATAAAAAATTGTTCATTTTTCTATCTTTTTATCTTACAGTGTTTTTTACACTAAATATATATGTATCAAAATATTGTACATATAAAAATATACAAGACTAGTTTACACAAAGACACATACTATACATTTCTGTTTATTTAGGATCCTGTTTCACAATATGTATTGTTCTTCCTCTGAATAAGTTCCAGTTCGAAGATGAAAGACGTCTAACTGGTGTAAGAGTTCAGCCTTTTAAATCTTTAATATTTTCTTTCCTTCTTTATCTACTTGTCAATCTCTATGTTATTATCTTTATCGTTTCCACCTCTACTTTGCGGTCAGCAAAAGAAAAATAGTCTTATATAAATATTACTTACATATTACATTTAATTGATTTTATTCCACAATATTTCCCGATATCAATTTATGAATTTCTTTTTTTTTTTGTAAATTTTTATTTTCATTTTATTTTCATCATGTTATGTTTGCATTATGATTCAATAATTCGATGAATAAAGCAATTGGGTATCTCAATTGTGTAAGTAAATTTGCATGACTCATGCAGATGTCCGTTCTTTGACTAACGCAAATTATTTTTATGAAAATTCCCGTCAATGGGATTAAGCAATAAGTGATATGAAAATTGTACGTAGTTCACGACTAATTTTAGAAATAATAAGTTGAGAATATTTTCACATATTTATTGTAGATTAAATAAAACATTCTTTTTTGTTTTTTCTAACATTAAAAATTTTTTATTCATTTAATGTAAAAAATATCTTAATTTCAATCTTTTTATTTTGTATTGAATACGCATAAATTTAATTTCATTTAATCTTCATTTTATTGTTAGTCTTTTAAAGATTTATATAATTTTATAAAATTTAAAAATATCTTATAGAATGATATAGTAATATAGAAGAGAATGAATAATAGGAGAAAGAAAAAAATATGATAAAATATTGAAATTAGCGCCACCTCTAGAGTGCTTCAAATGAAACACATAAAAAAAAAAAATAAAAAATGTGACAAAGATAGAGATAATATAAAAATTGATTAATAATGCCATCTTGAATATCAAAAATAAACTTAAAAAATAAGAATGTAAGAATTAAAGAGTAGCGTCATCTTTTAAGTACTTCAAAAATGTTTTTAACATGCATAAAAGATAGCGCTAATGATTAATTCTTATTCTATTTCTATCTTTCTCTTATTATTTTCTATCCTTTTTTATGAATTTCATTTGCGGCACTCTAAAGATGGCGCTGATATCAGTATTTTATGTTATTTCTATCCTTCTTTTGCTATTTGATCTCTGTCTGTTTATATTTGCTTTTGGCGTATAACCATAGACAAATGTGGAATGTCAATTGAATACATTTTTATTTTTCTTTTAAAGCTATTCTTTTCTTAATTTTTAATCTAAAAAATATAGATATTATATATTTTATATCATATTTATATATTTATTTATAAATATTATTATATTTATTTATAGGATGAAGATTACGCAATATAATCTGATATTTGATATATATTTTCGTAAAATTATTTCAAAGATTAAAAAAAAATAAAAAATATATAGCATTGCGTCTGAATTTTAAATATAAAAATATAATAATATACAGACAAAATAAAATTTGTTTTTAATTAAATAATTTAAATATTTTAAATAGTATTAAATATTATTATACAGTTAAATAAATTTAAAATTTTGTTAATTAACATGAAAATACAAATTTATTATTAAATGATATAAATATATTACAATTATTTATTTTTGGTATGATAGATATGGCACAGAATATTTTATTAATATAATGATAAACAAAAATTATATTTTCATATTAATGTTTTAGCATAATTTGCAATTATTTTTATTAATTATTATAAAAATAATAAGGATAATTATTTGGATTGATTCTGGGATTGACATTTCTGGGAATATCATAAGAATCTTCTGGCAGTGGAACAATTGGGATGTCTATAGATTCTTGGATATCTGGTTTTTGACAAGCCATGGCTCCACAACGATTCTTACAACATTTCATTGTTCCTCTACAATCACTGTCAACACTGCAAGTTGATGAACATATCCATCTTCCTTTAGGTATTGCTGGGCAGGAACCTGGTTTTTCTAAATATATATATTAAATCAAATTTAAATTAAAGATCATTAATTTTTTAAAATTCTTAAATTATTATTCTAAAAATTGCTATAGTTATATATATATATTATTATTATTGATATAGAATTTTGTTATTGATAAGAAATAATTGTTTATACCTTCAGAAATTTTCCTCATAGTCACAGGTTTTGTGCAAACAAAGCCTCCACAATTAGTAGGACAACATTTGCCAATTCCTAAGCAATATGAATCAGAGAAACAAGATTGACTACAAATATACACTGGCAATGGTGGTGGACAGGAACCTGGTTTCTCAACAAATGGTTCATATTTATGTTCATATCTATGAAAATATATAAATTGTATAGAGAAATTATTATAATTAATTAATTAAACAAAATAGGATAAACAAACCTGGATTGACCATATGTAATAGTAAAGTATAACATCAATGTGAAAATGATTAAAAAAAGCTTCATTGTTCAATGTTTTCCTTGCATAAAATTACTAAAAGCAAAATTAAAAAAATAGCATTGTAAATATTTTAAATAATATTTTATTTTTAAAATTTTATTAAAAATAATTATAATCTTTTTTATAAAATTTTCACTATCATATTTTCAAAAACACATGTCTATCTTCATCACATTTATTTTTTTATTAATAATAATCATTGTTATAAATTCTCTAATAGCTTAGAAAATATATAAATTATTCCGTATTACTATTTTTCAGAATTGAAATAAAATTGTGAAAATGTTGCTTTATTCTTACTTAAAAAGATGATCACGACTTCCGTTTTGTTGGAGAGAGAGCAATTTCTCTACTACATAAGATTGATCCTTACTTGATGACAAATGTAGAGCAGTTGCAATTCCGTAAGGGAAATTGAGAATCGTTGCTCCTATTTCGGATGTCGAACCGCAGCGATAATTAACCGGACAAATTCAATTAACAAGAAATCTAAATTGAACGGAAGGAAGATAACGGTTTCTGTGAGATTTAGAGATAAAGAACAAACGGGTGCTTGTACGATTTCCTGATTTTGTTCATTCAGAAGCAGAATTTTTTAATATAAATTTATAATCTCTTTTCATATTTTCTATATTTAATAAAAATTACGATTTGCAAATTTTTTAATTTTTTGTGAAATAAATTATGATGAATTATGATAAAATAAATAATTAATTTTATATTTTAAGAAGTTTACTATTCTTGTTTTTTGATCAAAAAATAGATATGATGAAAATTTATAATTGCCAATAAAAGTAATTGAATACTAACATTGCGTTCAATTTACTGTTTAAATAATTTTAAAAAATTTAAATTTATATTCATTTTATTCTTTTTAAATTTCAATATATTTATATATTTTCTCTGTATCTTTTTAAGCGAGGAAATACTTTTATAGTTCCAAAGATAATTATATATTGTAAGAAAACATACGTCGTTCGTTACAAACGTTGAACACTTTTTGAAAATTTAAACACGCTTAGTTATTCCTATGATGTTGATAGCACGACAGATTATTCGATACTGTCGATGTATACTTTCAATTGCATGTTTTATTCAGAAATGCATTTGCCATTATGTATACGAATATGACATCATTTATACTTCAACGATATGTTATTTGCAAAAAATACACGTATCAATAACAAGTTGACAATTTTTGAAAAATAATTTTTGAATATTTATAAATGTTTATTCCTATTTATAATTTGATTAACGAGTTATTATTCAATTTATTATATTATATTATATATTTATATAATCTAAATATTGTGATTAAAGTGGCAATATTATCAAAGTTGTATCAAGAATGTATCTATGATATCTATTTTTGAACAATAGATTATTTGAAATATTTATTTTCACATTTTTTCCATTTGTTATTCGTAAAATTTGCATAAACGGATTCGTCAAATTACATAATTCATTTTAAGCGCGTGATTTTCGAGGATAACCGGTTTTTCTAGAAACAAAAGCAATGTCTTTTTTTTTTTTTTAATATATCACTTGATAAAAATTAAAATTTAATTTCAATAAATTTTATATTCATATTATAAAATTATATTCAATTCATAATAATTGAATATTAATCATTTCATAGTTATATCATATTATAAAATTCTGTTCAATTCATGATAATTGGGTATCATCATGTTCATTGACTATCATTATATTGACATGAAGAGTCAATTGAAATAATTTGTCACAATTCGTTATTTTCATTTTTATTGACATAGACATAAATATAAAAAGGACGTAATAGATCTAGTAGAAAAAACAAAAGTGATTTTGCAACAAAATTATTATAACATAATTATGACATTACAATTAAAACGATAAATGCATTCTTGGTACTTGAAACACATTTCATTCGTTCCTCTATGTATAAAATTACAGAAAAAAGAATTCAATGCCTATATATACAGAATATCGTTTGTATTAGAGAATGATTGATATATATATAATGATATATAATATACGAATTGAATGATCGATGATAAAATGATTACGCAATGCCACGTTTCGATATACAGTCTTTTGGAATCGTTCAAACATTTTTTTTTAACAATTTTATATATATATAACGTATAAATTGATCTAATTTAATAATTAATAATTAAGAATATATATATATATATATATATAGATAATGAATTATAGAAATAATATATT